TTCAATTCTTAATAATTTGCCAGGTAGATTCTTGGTAGTAGGTTTGTTCCTCTTGGGATTATGAACATGTCATGCCACTCCCTTCTGGCCTGCAAGTTATCTACTGAAAAGTTGACTAATAGCCTTATGGGATTTTCCAGGTATGTAACTGTTTTTCTTGTTTTTAAGTTTCTCTTTACCTTTAATCTTTGACATTTTAACAATTATGTTGTAATGTGGACCTTCTTGAGCTCATCTTGTTTTGGGATCTCTGTTCTTCCTAGACCATGATGCTTGTTTCCTTTCCGAAGGAAGTTTTTAGCAATTATTTGTTCAATTAAGTTTTCTCCCCCATTAAGTTTATAATGACCCTTCAATGTGAATGTTACTATACTTGAATTTGTTGCAGATATCCCTTAACCTATGCTCTTTATTTTTTCTCTTCAGCTTGGTTACTTTCCACTATCCTTTCAGACCATTGATATATCCTCTAATCTGCTTTGACTCCCACTAGTGTACTTTTCATTTGTTATTGTATTCTTTAATAAAATAAACTTTGTAAAAAAAACTGGTTCTTTTAAAAATTGCTCTCTTGGTGAAGTTCTGAGTTTGTTCACTCTTCTCTCCCACCTGATGAGTCATCTTCATGACCGTTCCTCTGAATTCTCATCATATAGATTGTGTGTCCGTTTTATTCAGCTTTTCGTCTTGTCCTTTCCTTTGGAACACATTCCTCTGCCTTGTTTTGTCTGGCTCTGTTTGTTTCTATATATTAAGAGGTCAGCTATGTCTCCTTGTCTTGAAAGGCCTTATGGTGGGTGTCCTGTGGTGCCCAGTGCAATGACCTCAGCCATCAGAGCCAGGTGTTCCAAGGGTGCCCTGTTTGGGCTATGTGTGCCCTGTTGTAGCTGGACTATGACTACATCAAGTAGGTGGTGGTTGAGGCTGGCCCTCCACCTTGCTGTCAGCAATTATCAGCTGACTCCTGTGGGTGCATTAGTAGGAGGGCTTACTCCCAGCACAGCTGCCTGAGGCCTATAGCTCTGTCTCCTGTGGGCAGACCGGGGTGGTGGTGGTGGTGCTAGCTCCTCACCTCTATGGAGGGGGCACCTGCTATTGTGGGACAAGTGGTACTGGCATGGCAGATCAAGTGTCAGAACTGGTTTCTGCAAGCATCCAGCCGGCTAGGGTGAAAGCAAAGGAAATCACTCCGCTAACCCCTCATACTCTTGATAAAGATCCTGCAGATCCCTGCCCCCCTGACACACATCCCAAAGTTAGTCAACAAATCTCCCTCACATATAACCCGGATGCTTTTCAAATTGATGCCTCTGTCCTGGGTCCCAGACCAACTGACATAGCACACCAGCCCTCTGAGACCAGAGAATTGGCCTCCCACAGCCCTCTAGCTCTCTGGGAGTTAAGCCCCACTTATTTTCCAAATACTAAGCCTTATCCTTAGGTCTTGATCCATTTTGAGTTAACTTTGATTAAGTGATATTAGATAAGGTCCAACTTCATCCTTCACATGAGCATATTCACATAGACAAGATGCAGTTTTCCCTGCATCATTTACTGAAAAGACTTTTTCCCAACAAATGATTCTGGCACCTTTGTCAAGTCATTTGACCATATATGTGAGCATTTATTTCTGGGCTCTTTATTCTATTAGTCTAAACATCTGCCTTCATCAAGCACCACACTACTTTGATTCTGGTAACATGATACAGTAAGAAACACACATTTGGTCACTCAAATGACCAAATATGTACTTCCCAGGTATATCTGGTCTTCATCCACAGTTCCTGAAGACACTGCAGCATCTTAAAAGTGAAATGGTATCTTGTCATGCTGATGAGAGACTTATGAACCCCACCCCAGCAGGGGCTGGCAGTTGAATCAGCTAGTGCCCAATGATTTTGTCAGTCATGACTATGCAATGAATCCCTCACAGAAACCAAAGAAAGAGCTTATCATTTTGTGCTCTCTGGGATCCTGCCTGCCAGTCAGGGAAAGCCTTTAGGCTTGGGGGACCAGAACACCTCCAAAGGCCACCAGCTCCAAGAGGATAGAAGCTCCTTTATATATTTGGGACATTGCCTTATGTATTTCCTCATCTGGCTGTTTACTTGTACTCTTTTATTAAACTGGTAAATGTGTTTTCCTGAGTTCTGTTAGCTGCTCTAGCAAATTAATTGAACCTAAGACAGAAGTCCTTGGAACCTCCCATCTGTAGCTGGTAGGTCAGAAGCACAGCTTACCCATCTGGGGCTTGAGACTGGCATCTGGAGTTGGGGATGGGGGGCAGTCTTGTAGGATGGAGCCCTTGGGAGAATCTGGTACTGTCTCTGGGGAGACAGCATCAGAACTGAGTTGAGCTCTCTTGACACCCTGTTGGTGTTCGAGAATTGCTTGGTGTTATGTGTGGGAAGATCCACTCCCACATACTTAATGTACTTTGGAATTGGGTCCAGAAACCCAGAGTTATACTACTATTACTGCTATGTATAATACTATTGTTGTTTTATCTAAAAGCACACATTGCAGGTAGTCTTGTAGCACATTTCAAAATTGGGAAGTGTAAGTTCTCCAGTTGTTATTTTGGGGGATGGTTTTGCTATTTAGGATCCTTTGATATTCCATGTGAATTCTAGGATGGATTTTTCTATTTCTAATAAAGTAACTGGAACAGGGATTACACTGTATCTGTAGATTGCTTTGGGAAATACTGACATTTTAATAAGTCTTCCAATCCATAAGCATGGGACATTTCCATTTATTTATGTCTTCTTTAGTTTCTATCAGTAATGTTTTGTAGTTTTCATTGTACAAGTCTTTCATATCCTTGGTTAACACCTATGTATTTTATTCTTTTTGGTGCTATGGTAAATGGAATTGTTTTTGTAATTTCCTTTTCTGATCACTTACTGTGTACAGAAATGCAACTAACTTTTGTGTTGACTTTGAATCCTGCTATGAATTTATTAGAGCTAACAACTTTTCAATGATGTCTTTAGGATTTTCTACATATAATATATCATCTGCAGATATAATTTTTCCTCCTTTCCAATTTGGAGGCTTTTTATTTCTTTTTATTTTCTAATCACTCTCACTTCCTTGTTTCTGAGCTAAAAAAAAACTCTCAGTCTTTTGCTATTATTATGTTTGTTACATTTTTCTCATATATGGATTTTATTATACCGAGGTACACTCTTCCTGTTTTTTCAAGAAAGCATGTTGTATTGTGTCAAATACATTTATGGATCATGATGTGGTTCTCCCCTTCATTTTGCTGATGTGGCTTTTTACTGATTTTTGTATGTTAAACCATCTTTGCATTCCAGGAATAAGTCCCACTTGGTCATGGTATACAATCCTTTTAATAATGCTGATGAATTCGGTTTGCTAGTATTTTGTTGACTTTTCCATCAATGTTCATAAGGGACACTGGTCTGTGATTTTCTTTCTTTGTCATGTCTTTTCCTGGCCTTGGTATGAGGGTTATACTGGCCTCCTAGAATGAGTTGGGAAGTGTTCTCTTCAATACTTTTTGGACAAGTTTGAGAAGGATCAGTATTAGTTTAATCTAATGTTAGGATTCACCAGTGTCAGTGAAGCTATCAGGTCCAGGGTTCTTTGTGAAGAGATTTTTCATCCCCAAACGCAATCCTCTTTTATTTAGATTTTCTAACTTTTCATGATTTAATAATCTTGGTAGATTTTGTTTCTAGGAATTTGCCCATTTCATCTGGGTTATCCAATTTGTTGGTGTAAATGTTTGTAGTACTCTTATAATCCTTATTTCTGTAGAAGCAGTAGTATTTCTCCATTTTCACTTCTGATTTTAGTAATTTGCATCTTTGTTCTTCATCTAGCTAAATGTTTGTCAATTTTGTTTTTGAAGGACATTTTTCACTGATATTCTCCACTGATTTTCTATTCTATATTTATCTCTGCTCTAATATACACTTCTGCTAGCTATGCTTTGCCTCTTTTCTATTTCCTTAAGTTGTAAAGTTGTTGATTTGAGATCATTTTTTATATTTATAGCTATAAATTTCCCACTTAGCACTGCTCTCACTGTATACTGTAAGGTTTGGTATGTTTCCATTTTCATTCATCTCTTAAGTATTTTCTAATTTATTTTGTGATTTCTTTGATCTGTTGGCTGAGAGTGTGTTGACTTCCACAATTTGTGAATTTTCCAATTTTGTTGCTGATTTATAACTTCACCTCCTTACAGTCATTGAAAAACATATTGCATGATAGCTATGTTTTTAAATCCAAGGAGAATCTGCAGACTACTATATAGTCTATCCTGTAAAATGTCCCATGTGTTGGCTGAGTGCATTCTATTAGATTTTGTTGATTAAATCCTCTATTCCCTTATTTTATCTTGTTCTAGTCATTACTGAGAGGGTACTGAAGTCTGTTATTTTAGAACGACCTTCAATCTTGTCAGTTTTTACTTCGCATATTTTGATGGTCTGTCATTAGGTGCCTGTTTGTGATTTTACCTATCTAGTTTCATTGAAGTTTTTATTAGTAATGTTATCTCTTGCAATCTTTTTCAATTTAGTGTCATTTTTGTCTGATATTAGCATTGTCACCCTTGCTATTTTGTGTTTGCTGTTTGCATGGAGCATCTTTTTACATCCTTTCATTTTCAATCTACTTATGTCTTGGATCTAAAGTGAATCTCTTGTAAACATTATATAGTTGAATAATGCTTTTCATCCATGAATCTGTCTTTTCATTGGAGAGTTTAAACCACTTACACTTAAAAGTTACTGACAAGCAGAGACTTATTTCTGTGCTTTTGTTTCTGTATGGCTTTTTTTTCTTTCTTTGCCTGCACTAGTCTTCATGTTTAGTATTTTTTTTTTGTAGTGAAAACATTTACTTTGATTTTGTTGTGTATTTTTTCTTTGTGGTTGCCATGGGGATTACATTTAACATCCTAAACCCACAGCACTCTAAATTTATACCAGCTTAATTTCAATCACACACAACACTGCTTCTTTAAGAGTTCCATCTCCACTCTTTGTTGTCACAAAAATCCATCTTTATACATGGTGTTCCCCAAGACATAAAGTTATTTTAAATGCACTAGTTTCTTAAATTATATAGAAAACAAAATGTGGAGTTACAGACTGTTGTTACAATACTTGCTTCTATGATTGGCCATGACCTTACCTTTATTGTGGTCTATATTTCTCCATACAGCTTTGAATTACTATCTAGCATCCTTCACTTCACCTTGCAGGAATCCCTTTAGCATTTCTCATGGGGAAGGTCTAGTGGTAATGAACTCCCTCATCTTTCATTTAACCAAGAATATCTTAATTTCTCCCTTACTTTTGAAGGATACTTTGCCGAATATAGGATTCTTAGTTGAGTTTTTCTTGTAGCATTTTGAATATATCAGCCTACTACCTCCTGACTTCCAAAGTTTCTGATGAGAAATGTATTCATCTTATTTTGAGGAACCCTTGTATATGATGATTTCTCTCTTGCTGCTTTCAATATTGTTTGGCTTTTGAAAATTTGAGTGGGTCTTGATATGGGCTTCTGAGTTCACCTTACTTGGAGTTCATTGAGCTTCCTGGTTGTTTCCTCAAATTTAGGAAATTTTCAGCCATTCTTTCTTCAAATATTCTTTCTACCCCTTCTTTTTCTGGAACTGGTGCAAGAGCAGTCTGAGTACATGGGGGACTAAGGATTGCAAATGAGAACTGCTGGGAATGGGGGCTTGGAAAATGAACAGATAAGTCCCATGGGGCCTGATGGGTCTCTGCTGAACATCACTGGCCCTGGGCTGTGTAATACTTACACCTTCTTGCACTGCTGGGATGCCTGGCTGAGTTCCATCTCCTCCAGGGGGCTTCTGAGACCCTGGGAGCCAGCAGAGGTCGTGACCTCTGAGTGAGCCTATGGCCACAGCTCAGGAATCTCAACACAGGAGGCTGTAAGAAGTCTGCCCCTAATAATCATGCTATTCAGAGCTTCATGGTGCAGAATGAAAACTTGTCAATTCTCAAGTTTCCCTTTTGGATTTTATTCACATCTAAAGCTGTAATGCTAGAAAGCCACACAGTTATGCTCCATTCTCTTGAGACAAAACTGGAGGATGGATGGCTGCTTGTGCTTTTACTTCCCCAACAGAACTTGTTTTTGTATGCCCAACAAATGTTTGCATAGACAGTCTCTTCACATTTATCACTGGTACTTTGGGTTTTGATAAACACATTTTACTTCTAACAGGACACAGACTCTCATCTCCTTTTACCTTGGCAGGTCACAAGGACACAAAAACCTGGCTACATGTACAGTTCGGTTCCATCCTGGGGGCCTGCAGGTCCTGCTCTGCACATCCTCACAAGGGGGGTTGTGCACATTTCCACCAAAGGACACTAAATGAGCTGCCTCACTCACTGTGCCCCCTCTGCTGTCACTGAAACCCAAGTCCTGTGAAGGCAACATTGAGAACTAAGGCACACGGAGCACGTGCCATGTGCTCTGCTAAGGGCTCACATGTGTCAAGTGGTATCTTCACAGCAAGCCCTTGAAGTAGATGTACTGTTATCCCCACCGACAGTGAGGAAACTGAGCAGAGGTTACTCTGCAATAAGAGGCAGATCTAAGTACTGAACTTGAAGTAGCAGGTTTAAGAGCCAGATGGCTAAAAAGGTCTCTCTGCAGCAGAGGACACTGCCTTCTTCTAGTCAGAGTGCAGATGAGCCAGTGCTCCCATCCTGCTCAGGCCAGGTCCTGATTACCCAGCACTCTAGTCTATCTACAGAACCTGCTTCTTGCCTTCTTCTTATGCATTCTCCAGCCCTGAGTTCCCACAATGACCCCAAGGACAAAGAATTCTTTTTCAGTCTGACTTCTTTTTGGCTCCATATTTCTGCTTTCTTCAGCTTTTCTCAGACACAAGGTGTGAAGGAGCCTAGAGCCACTCCTGCATTTACTGCTTATATTTTCCTTCCTCTGAGCTAGCAAGAACATTTGCCCTTGACCTTGGAGCAAACACAAATGGTCCATTAAGTAGTCCATCAACATATACCTCACACTGGCAGGGGAAACCTCAAGAACCATAGTGTCTCTCCTGAGGGAGGTACAGGTGAAAGACTGACTCACCTTTTAATGTAGTCTGGGTTATGGACATGTGGGGGAGCCTGCAACTAAGACCTGGGAGTTTGAGGAAGGCTCCTGAGAGGTGGTACCCAGGGTGAGATAGGAAGTGGTGGGAAAAGCATGTGCCACAAGAAGTCATCACAGGAGGAGGAGCAGGAGCAGTGAGGCACCCCTGAGCCTGTGTGGGAGTCCGGAGTTCGTTGAAGGAGCTGCGCTCAACTCATCAGAAAAGAGTCCTGGAGAGAAGGGAGCCCGGAGGCAGGTGACAGGTGAGGGGTCATGGGCTCAAGTCTGGAAAAGGAAAAGGGGTACATTTGAAATTCAAAGGTTTTATTATTATTACAAAACATACTTATACTCTTTTTCCCCCAAAAGAAATGACAGGTATCACAAACTCTTGGGCTGAGATTCCATAACAAAATTTGAGATGTTTTGAACTTTACTGACAGGACCTCAAAGCCACGACATCAGATGGAAGACTGAGATAGGAAAATCTTCTTGAAGGACATGAATTTTTCAAAGTCTGAAAAAATTTTCTTTTGTGGGCAATACTCTCTGGGAGACTGTCAACTTTTCTTTTTTGTTAGATGTTTTTAGTTGCTTGATATTTGGTTTTTTCTTTGTTACCTGGCTGCTCAGACTTTCCTAAGGTCCCACAGCCAGCTCTGTGGTCGCACTGCCTCCAGTACATTTACGTGGTGGGCTTTGGGTTGCTATCTTAAGCTCCACACGTACATCAGAAGTTTATCACAAAAGCATAAACTCGGGAATGCCAGATGGAAGAGAGAAGATGAGGTACAGGAAGTGCAGAGCTCCCATGCCTGATCCAGGTGCACTGCTGCTCAGGCTCCGTGTGTTCACCAACCTGGTAGTTCCTGGATACACTTCAGGAATAAAGTTTGGAGTCCTTTTAATGAAGTTAAAGGTGAACTAGGAAGATTTCTCTGTATTTGGGAAGTCCTGAGTGAGCTCTTTCACATCACAGATAAAATTAGTCCTTAAAAACAGGCAGAGTGCGGCATTCCAACTGCTGATATGGATACAAGTAACATCATTTTTCTACCCAAGTAGAATGGGTCCAAGCCCATGTGGAAATACCTTCTTTCACTCTTGTCTTACGGCGCTTGGCAGGAGATGCGGAGATGATCAATGTGGACCAGGCCTTAAGCAGCAGCAGTGTGAGGACTGCTCTGTGACAAAACCATCCAGGGTCACACCTCAAGCTCTTTCTTGACACATAAACTTTTGTTCCTTCTATTACTGGTCCAAATACCATCTCTGTCCTTTTCCTGGTCCTTTTTTTCATTCTATTTATATTAGTTGTGGCTTTGTGCCTATCCTTAAAGATTGTCTTAAATCCTTCCTTTAAGAATATGGAGTATGAACAAAGTTTCCTGTGTCTGGAAAAAAGACCTTGCCCCTACCATTTGCTAACTGTACAGGGCCTAGCCCTGGAGCACAGATGGAAAGATCAAAAAGAGCAGCCAGCTTCTTACACCAGCCTCGCCTGCAATGCCTGCTGCCTCCACACCGTAAGGCTGATACACACCCCTGCACCGCACTGGGCACAGACACAACCAGGAGTGTTGCAAGGACACACCCCTTGCCATTTGGGATCTGGGTCCCTCTGCAGCATGGGCCCAGAATCAGCAGTCAGTAGAGCAGGCTGCTCAGTGCGGTGGGGTCCTGTATTAATCACATTTTATTTTTTGTATTTATGATGTTTTGATATCTTGGAGGCCTTGCTGGCTGGGAAGAGCCCTCCCAGGGCATCCTGCAGACAGTGAATGACTCCCTGTGAGCAGGCCTTTCACCTGCAAGCCGACTACGTCAGAGCCCATACCCGGACCGCCTTTCATCCAGCTCTCACACTCCCACACCAGCATTTCCTCTGCTCTAAGCCACCAGAAGGCCAGATACTGGGCAACTAGAAACCACCCATATAGCCCAGGGGCTGCTGAGATTATTCAGACTATCCAATCCTCAACTTAGTCAAATGTACCTGCCCTGCCTCGCCCACACCTTCCTGCAGAAGCCACAACACAGGCTCTCAGCCACACTTTCCTTCCTTCTGCCTCCTGACCTCCCCTGGTGCTTCCGAGGCCCTGCGACACCCCCCGTCCTCTTGGGAAGTTTAAGTCACGAACTCTTCCAAGGCAGCTGTGTCCACATCTATCATACTGCCATGCATGATCAAAACAGATTCTGATCTACATTTCAAAGAGGCCCATCTTCCCTCTGACATTTTTTCTCTGGTGAGGCAAGACAGGGCTAAGCAAGCAACCTGCACTCCTAAAAGAGACACTGTACCCCCTTCCAAGAAGGCAGGATCACACAGATGCCACCAGACACCAACACCCCAGAGCATCTGCAGTGGTCCACCTGTGTCCATCATGTTGTCCCTCCAACAAAGGCCACTGTGCTGTGCTAGCAAAGGTAGAACTTGAAGCCACATCCCTGCTGGGCACACCTGGTCCTAAGAGGCCTGCTGAGAAGGTGGTATTATGGCACTTGTGTTGCACAGGTAAGGGAAACTCTCCTTCCTGAGATGGTTTATAAAGATGGTAATTACACTCCCTGAAAAGCCATATTAGTTTACTTGCTTTGTCTTATTAGTGTACCTTTCTCTGACTATCTGAACTTTGTTAGTACACACTTTTAGTACCAGGTCAACAATACCTGGGAAACGAGTTGCCCCAAGCCCAAGAGAATGCTCTCCAGGTCACACTGAAATAATGATTTATTTTATTTTCTCCCAGGACCATAACTCGTGCCTGAACAACACTCACCTAATACACACATGGAGGCACACCACAGGTACCTCACACTTCAGGCCCTAAACACACTTCAGCACCACACTTGGGGCCATTTTCAACAGTGAAATCACCATCAAAAGTCACAAAAAATGTGAAAAATGTGGCACTGACTAGACTATGAAAAGGACAGGTGCTCACAGCGTGAGACGGACCAAGGACAGAGCCTCCCCTTGTCTGGACTTACTGGGAGTGTGTGCATCCCGTGAAAAGTCACCAAGGGGCCCAGTGAGGTGAACCTGCTCATCACGTGGCCTGGCCACATGGCCGTTACCCTGGGTTTTTACTCACTTCTTGGTGGCTGTCTCATCGTGCTGTTATGGGGACAAGCAAATGTGGCTTGTGCAAAGGCTTTCCCGACGTGCACTGCACAAGCATTTTCTCAAGGCAGAGCTCCTGCCACAGGCTGACACGGGTCAGCTCAATAGAGATGACACTCATGATCCACCCCTGGTGTGACCCCTGGCAGTCACCTTGACCCCCATCCGTGTCCCAGGGTGCTTCTCAGGGGCCCTGCCATCATCTGGGCTACCTTCATCCCTGTCCCCCACAGGTAGTGCCTGGGACTGGTCATGGTCCACACGGGGCCTCTTCCTCGTTTGCTTGGTCGCCACCAGCTGCAGTGCATCCGTGCCCCCCTTGCCCCTCTCTCGCCTCTTGTACTCCATGATCTGCTTGTTGAGCGCCTCATGATCAATCTCACACAGGCGTGAATGTGGGGCAGAGTCCAGGGTGTCCAGGGCTTCAGGGTCCCTGCAGGGAACAGGGAAGTTTCACCCCAAGGACCAACACAGCACCAGAGCAGCAGCAGGGGGGCTCCAGAGGCAGCACCTCACCCTCCAACACTGGCTGCTTACAGACTATCCTGACACTCCCCTAAGGGAGATGGTGGGGGCAAGACAGAAGGAAGGTGGGGTTTTAGTTTTGGCATCCACCAGCCAGCACTTGTGCAGCCTATACGTGGCACAGCCAGCACACTTCTGATGCAACTGTTAGGATGGCTATCAAACACACTTTGTTTTTTTTTCCATTTAAACAAGGCCAGTGCACTAGGCCAGTTAAACAGAACTGTGGGCAGTCTATTACAACTACCACTTAGGTTACGTGATGAACCAAAGGAAAACAGAAGATAGTCTATTCTGGGAGCAAAACCAGAGCAATCCTCCCAAAACCCCAATCTGGCTACCAGTGCCTCTAATGCTCGGCATGCCCACCTGCCTCTCCCTGCCCCGGCTCCCCACTGATCCGGACTATGGCCTCACTGGTGCTCGTGGACTTGGCTCCAGCTCAGAGGAACCCAGGTGCAGCATCCCATCAGCCGAGAACCTACCAGAGCGACTCCCTGGCCTGGGACGGGGCCTCCTCCACACACCCACTTGAATCCTCATACCCCTTTCCCAGAGGCCTGCCCTGCCCGACTGACGTAACACTGCACACCCACCCACCCGCTGGTCCGCCACCCCAACTGTGTTGTGCCCCCTTCCTAATGCAGGTTCCTTATCTCTGACGTTCACTGCTTCATGTTCTCACTGGCGTCCCTCAGCAGCACGCAGGCTCCAGACATCTGCCCGTGCAGTCCATGAGTGCACCTGGGTGCTGGGAGGGGGCCCTCAGCAACGTGCAGGGCGGAGAGAGGAGGGAGCCTGCAGCTCTCACTATAGCTGCAGTAGTGACAACAGACACCGCAGACCCCGGCACTGCCATGTGGACCATCGGCCTTCCCAACAGGCCGACTGAGGCACTAGGTGGTCTTGCCAGGATGGGCCCCAGGGCAATAAGACCAGGGATGGCCTGCACAAGCAGCTGGAGCATGTAGACCACGCAGCTGTGTGGCTATCAGCAAGTCCACACCTGGGTGTCTGCCTAAGTGTATTGGAAATATGCCCACGTGTCACCTGAAATCATTTTGTGTAAAGTCATCTTTTTCATCTGGGGGTCCAAAATCAGCAATTGCCAATAACCGGTCAACCTGAAAAAGAAGAGAGGAGAATTCAGCAAGCTGTGCCTCTGCGCCACCTGCGTCACCAAGCGTCACCAAGCTGGCTTGGCCTTCCAACCGCACTTTCCAAATGGCAAACCCTGGTCCACAGCCTATGCTTTCAAATGCCTATTACTTAAACATCACCTTTCCTCTCCTAATGAGCTGAGGCTTACTTAAAACTTGTAAATATTGGTCAAATTTATGAAGAAACCAGTTAAAATTGGTTTCTAATAAAGTTTTGCAAAATGCTTCAATTTTGCCATAGAACTTTATGTTTGGGGGAAAAAAACGTCTCCCAGCATAAGTAAGTCACAAATCAGGGGTCCAGCATTCGAATGCAGCACCACAGTGGCTGAGGGGCCTACACAGGACATGCAGTCCTCTTGCAGGGCACACATGATACTGCTACCCTGAGGGCACTGACCAGATGACCCTGCCCCCTGGACACCAGGGGCTGCCCACACCGTTCCCTGTCTGTTCTGACTACCTCCAGTCTCTGACCGAAGCCATGGATGCTGAGATCCTACCTCAAGCCCAGAGAGCCTGGGTCCAAAACCAGGGCCTGCTGCTCCACAGCAGAAAGCATCGTCACAAACCAGCAGCACACCGACAAAAACCGCAAACATGAAAAGCAGCAGAACCAAGGGAAAAATCCGGGAAATAGAAGCAGCAGGACAAACCAGGTATCTCCAAAGTTCAGAATGGGAGAAAGTATTACAATGCACAGATCCGACAAGCTACTTGTCCCAGATATAAAATGAACCTGTGCAAATCGATAATGAGCAAACTTTATAAAAATGGACAAAAATTCTCAACAGACCTCACAAAACAAGGAAGGCGCAACCAATCCATACTTAAAAAGATGTCTCGATATTGCTAGTCATCAAGAAAACACACGTGTAAACCACCAGAACGGCAACACTGGGTGGCAGGAACTCCCTCACGAGGGAGGGCGACATGGCACACTGTTCAGGCAGGGAGCAGGTTCCTCAAGTTAAACGCCACTCGCCATTCTACATATTGCCCTAACAGAAACAAAACACACATCCATAGATGCGTGTGCAAATGTCACCAGCTGCTCTCTCATAATAGCCAAAAACCAGGAAAAAGACAAGTGTCCATCGAAAGGTAAATGGGGAAATAAACTGCAGTGCCACTCACCAAAAAGGAACTGCTTATACACAAAACACAGACACATCTTAAAAACACTGTGCTGAGCAAAAGTTGGCATCCCGTCTGATTCTAGAAATCCTACCAGGCAAAACTAACGGTTGGTAACTAAAATCAGATGGGTGGTATGCCAGTGGAGGGTTAATGACTATTTGGGGTGAGTTGGGTGGTGATTACACAAAGGTATGCATTTGTTAAAATGGGTACATCTTATCTTATGTAAGTTATGCCTCAATAAAGCTTATTTTAGAAGTTTTATGAAGAACTAAATGCAAATGCACCCTCAAGTTCTATTACATAACAGAGGCCATGGGGTTCACCTTTTACAGCAACTCTGGTCTACAGAGCTCGTGGGTGATAGGTAGTAGGTCCACACTGGGAGCTCAGGCCCACTCTTACAGAAGGATGCAGATCTGACCACACAGCAACCAGAGGCCCACCCAGTCAGGAGCTCTCGGTCAGCTGGTAGTCAGCTGGAAGACAAGCGGGTGTGTAACGACCTTGCGGTTGAAATGAAACACATACAGACGTTTTTCGTACACAGTAGTAGTATATACAACAGTCTAACTCCTTTTGGGTTCCTGGACCTGATTCCAATATGTGTGGAGAGGGCAGGGGGGTCTTCCCGCACACATAACACCAAGCAATTCTTGAACACCAGCAGGGTATCTAAGAGCCCAACTCTATTCTGACGCTATCTGTCCGGGGACAGCACCAGAGTCCCCAGGCTCTGCCCTATAGGACTGCCCTCCACCCCTACTCCAGACGCCAGTCGCCAGACACCTGTGCTTCTGACCTGCTGAGTACAGACTGGAGGTTCCAACACCTCCCCCCATTAGGTTCATTTAATTTTCTAGAGCATCTCACGGAACATATTTACTAGCCTAATAAAGGAATTCATAAAGGGTACAAGTTAACAGACAGATGAAGACGCACATAGAGCAAGGTCCCAAATTCTGTCCTTGTGGAGCCTGGGGCCTGGCTCAGGGGCACACGGGAGCTCTGGTTCCTCAAGCACAGAAGCTCCCTCCCACAGAAAGGCAGCATCCAAGAGAGCAGTAAGCTCCTCTCGGGGTCTGTGAGGCCTTCGCTGCATGGTCATGACTGACTGAATCACTGACCACGGCCTGATGCACCCTCCAGCCTCTGCCCCTGGTGGGGTCCAAAACTCTCATTAGCACCACAGGACACCCACTTCACCTTTAAGGCTCTGCCGTGTCTTCAGCAACTATGAATGAAGACCAGATATACCTGGGAACCATGTATTTGGTCATCAGAATAACCAAATATATATTTCTTATGACTCATTATATTGCAGCAGGGAGAGTACAGAAATCAGTTAAGTGTATAGTTCAATGACCTTCACAAACCAAACACACGTGGACACCCTGGCACTTAGCTGGACTGCAGAAGCCACTACCTTCATGCCCTTGCTGGTTGGTCATTCTCCCCAAGGAAAGCAATTATTTCGACTCCACTGCCAAAGAGTGCTCATGTTTGTCTGAACTCTTTCTAAATGGAATCATACGGGCCTTTTCTTTGGCTCACACACAGGTGTGAGTTGAGGGGTGCAGGTGGCTATACCAGAGCACATTCACCCATACTACTGCTAACACGTATCTGCACCGAGAGAAATCCTGCTGCCAAGCCCTTGTGTGTGTCTCTGGTGTGCACACACCCACCCACGTCTGTGGGTGCTCGCCTGGGGGACCTGTGGGTCACAGGATGTGCTTAGCTTCCCCAGGGACAGTGCGGCCACTTTCCCTGGTGGTGCTGCTAGCAGCATCCCCCGCACAGGAAGTTCTGCTCCAAATCTTCAGAGCAGCTGGTACTGTCACTACCTGAAGGTAAGCCACTGGGAGGATGTGCACCGGAGGCTCTTCGTGGTTTCCGTTTCCATTTTCCTAACGACCAGCGATGCTGAGCCTGTCCGTGTGAACCTGCTGGTGGCTAACATCAATACTGCAAAATGTTACTCAGGGTCCAGTTTGCACAGAGCTTATTGCTGCTCCTCTTTCACATGTCCAGACCAGGAGCCTGAAGACTATCCCCAGAATGCAAAGTAAACTGTCAAAACCATTAACAGCTGTTATTTTTTGCAACTACCTGCAATCTTTCAACATGGTGCAAACAATCTAAGAATCAGGTACACTGCTACAAAGCTCCATCCCTAACTCCCAATTTAAAATTTTTGTGCCAATCTAGCTGCTTTACCATAGGATGACTTTAAACCTATTAAACTGACAGGCACTGTGCTGATTTACGATGACTGACGGATAATCATCACCCAGAGCAGAGGCCCCTGTCCAGCCTCTACTTCTAACTACAGTGAGGCAGAGACTTCATGACAAGAACCTAGTTGAGGCCTGACCTTCCCTTTGCCTCTAGTCAACAGCTGAGATCACACATGCGCCCACCATCAGCACATGGTACACGGTCTGACATCACCACCTCATGGCACACCTGGAACGCAGTGGGACAGACCCTGCGTAAGCCCATGCTGGCAAGATCCAACACAAACACCCAATGCACGATCTGGAGAAAGGCCTTATGTGCACCTCCCTCCTTCCAAAGACTTTCTGGAAGGGAACCTACAGAGCCAGGAGGGACCTGAGAGCTACTCTACCTCCCCAGACAGAGGACAAGTCACCACGTGGTGACAACAGACGACTTGCTCCTAGCAGCTTGACCACAAGTGCATGGGTGAAGTCCTTGCGAAATGCACAGCGCACCCTGTGCTAAGATCCTGTTTGACCCTTCAAACCAAGCACTGTGACTCCACTCCTGCGTTTCCTTCTCTAGCTAAGATCATATATCCATCAAGGTTATTATTTGTATATTCTTGGTATTGCTAATATAGTGAATAACAAAAGACAAAAATATCCAATTAGATATTTTTCCTTGGTAGGTCTAAATATTACTTAGCCGTACAGTGAATAACAGCTACCCAATTATAACATTGTAAATACTACTCGCTGGGTTGTTTTTTGTAAGACTTTTAAAAGGTATAACTGACCTTAATAACTATAAGGTAACCACCACCCAGATAAAATATATAAATACACTTACAAGTTTTAACCTTTATAATTAACCTGCATCTAAATGTAAACCTTGTTAATACTGATGGTACAAAATAACCACAGATGGACTGAAACCTAGGGAGGTGAGAGGTGACAAGCACAGATGGACTTCCACTGCCTCAAGTTTATAAACTGAGAAGTAGAGGCTTGGCTTACCAGCTATAGCGATAAGCATAAAAAAATTAAAAAATGAGAAAAGACGGTTATGTCTGGGGAGGTGGCTGAGCTTGGGCATGGAGTCTCACTTGCCCCTTGCACCTTCCATGTGTTGTTTTTAACTGCATACATTATCTTCTGAATACTTAAAAACTGAATTTAAAGTTTCATCCATATTAAGTTTATGTTTTAAGTTATTGAAGAGCCTTACCTCAGCTAGAGCTGCACTTTCTTTGTCCTGAATGAACACTATGGGTGGCATGTTCCTCAGGGTCTGCCGGGACATCAAAAGATGCCTGGAGAGAGACAGGACAAGTTCACACAGGTGTTAGAGATGCTTAGTGGAGAAATTTGACAATACCAGAAAAAAATTTGATAATCTTGTGAAGAGGTAAATGAGATTCACTCATCAAATTACTCAAAGATGAAAATGTCAGCCCAGAAAAGTCTTCTCTAGCTAACCACCACATTACAAAAAGGATACAAACTGCATCATTACAATGATAGTTTTTCATTTTTAATTCATTGTTTTAAATGCAACTTTGAGATCCTTGAAAACAATCTGATCAGGTCTGGGCACTGCTGACCACCTGTCAACATCTCCTCCAACACCACCACAGTGTGGCCAGTCCTCTCCACCTCAGTGTCAGATGCAGGACTGGTCTTTGTGCTCCTTAGCTGGGCAACACAGGCAGGCGTGAGGGGAATCAACTGCAGCAAGTATTCATTCAGTGACACACAGCACCTGCGTCGCAGTGACAACACAACTTGCACACAGTTGGGGAAAACCTATACACTAAACCTCAGGTGATCAGCAGAGTCAGGAAAAGGGACACTCTGCTCACCTGGATTTTCTGTTACCTAAAAATCAATCTAAAGACAGTACCCTTATCTCAACACTTGTTGAAAATCTCTTATTTTCTTGTTTCTGTTAAATGTAAAAAGTGGTATTAACTGAATGTTCTTTGATCTACAATTTTCAAGGCCCATCACTGTGGTGTATGTCGCCGGGTGGCACGTGAACCTTTGGCCGCCTTTGCCACACCTACTCCTCTCCTAAAAATGAGTAGGGTGTGCAGAGGTAAGGAAAAGAGACAGACAGGAGGGGGAAGCAGGAAGAATGAGTTCCAATTCTAAGGGCTGGTTAGGTTTCTGCATTTTTTTAAAACTGAGAAGAAAACAGAATAACCTCTTTACTATCACCCAGCTCAGTGGTTCTCAAAATTTTTGGTCTCAAAACTCCTTTACACACTTCAGAATTACTGAGGACACCAAAGAGGTTTTGTTTGTGTGGGTTACATCTATCAATATTTACCATTCCAGAAATTAAAACAGATTATTTAAAAAACATATATGTATCAATTCATTTAAATTAACAAACACAATATTCATATATTTTTAATGAAAAATAACTCTATTTAAAAAATTGAGAAGAATGGCATTGTTGACATGGTCACAAATTTTTTTAATGCATAGCTTAATGGAACACACCTCTGCATCTGGATCTAATCTAACCTGTTCTGATGCTTTTTAGGTTGAACTATAAGGAGAACATCAAGTCTCCCAAAGATCTGCACCTGGAAAAGGCAGGCATCTATAAACAGCCCTTCAGAAAAGTGGACCTTCTTTGACATATTATAAACACTCAGTAAATGGTATTTTACTAAAGATGGCTTGCAATATGGAATCCGAACTAGACCAATGGACACGTGACACTATGCCACAACTCACTGGCATGCCTATCTTGAGCTGATCTCTCCCCACACAAGACTGCAACCTCACACATTAGTCATTTGCAAGATAGTGATTCACCAAGTCACACAGATTTTCAGAATGCTAACACATCTTACTAAACACTGCATTTTTAAGGACTGGAAAGCTGTCAAACTCATGATGAGGGATATGAGTTTTCTAAAATTCAGAGCTTGACTTGAAAGCTTAAGTTTTATCACTGGCAACAAACATGCTCAGTTTATTTCCCTCAAGTGACAGGTTCACTTTGCTTATTTTGGAGACAATGTCTGTAATACCCAAATCCGAGTAAGGATAGTTGGTTCAATTGTTCTTTCAAATGAAAAAGTATCTATTTCAACTTGAGCAATTGAGTGTTCAAATGACACCAGGACATCTGGGCCACAAGTATTATTACCAGTGCGGCTTCAGCCCAGCCTCAACAATGAAAAGGAAGTAGATTATGAAAACAGCCTTAACCTTACAAATCCCCTCAAAGCAGCTCAGTCTCTAGGGACCACACTTTAAGAACTGCTGACCTAGATTATGGCTTACTTTAAAATGTACATTACGTGCTGAAATTTAGCAAAGTGCTTCCAAAATTTTCCTTAAAAGCAGAAATACTGAACGAAACAGGCTGGGAGAGTCAAGGTGCAAGTAGAAGCAAATGCACTCAGAAGGCGGCTGCTGTACCTGATGTGTGACGCGCTTCTCTGCAGTACAGCCTCCGTGTGCGTCTTCTGCTCCCCAGACACAGCCATCTTCCAGTACACACGGCAGGCGGAGAAGTCTGGAGTCAGAGAGACCTGCCCCCAGCCCCAAATCACTCGCAGAGCACGTAGGTACCCTGGACACAGCATCATTTAGAGGCAAATGACTCATTCACTGTCCCAGTATCACGCCATGCCCAACACCCAGACATGCTCCAGGGACTGCTGTGGGAGGCTCTCTGCTGAGGTATCTGGGCCCTCATCTAAATGCTGGCACTGCTGCTTACTGGCCCCCTTATTTCGGGTGGCTACACGCTCACCCTGAAGGGTAGACAGCAGGAAACCCCAAGGTAAAGGCACATGCGCCCATCCCGTCTCACCCAGGCCTCCTCACGCCCTTCATCGCACTAACCAGGCGTCTGACAGTACACTTGGTACCGCCTGGCCAGGACCCACCTGCATACAACCACGTCTGCTCTCCAACCACACAGTACCCTCAGTGCCACTGGTACTGAAATGGCCACACTTACCATCACTTCTGAAACCCAAACTGAAGGACCAGCGAGGTGTATGCCTCCTCTTTCTGTTTAAGCAAGACTGGCCTACAACGCCGCCTACCTTGCAGAGCTCCACGTTCAGGTCATAGGTCTCCTGGCTCACTTCAGGGGTGGACAGCAGATCGGTCAGCGCTTTGTAGAGGAGGCCATTTAGGGCCCTCAGTCGCACGTGGTCCCCCTTCTTGGTTTTCTTGGTGGCACTCTTCATCAGGAAGTTCAACTGGGGTGGCTTGTACGTCTGCACGAAGAAGAACAGACACAAAGGCCGAGTGCACGTTATACACGCTGACTTACATATGGGGCGCTGGGGAGGACCTGAATACCTTGATGCGCAGGAATGAGCATTAATTACACTCAGCTTCCTGGCATTCCCTACACTGCAGGTCCTCTTACAGACCTATATCCTTCTAGACCTTACCTACATGACTCCAAGATTAAATGTACTCCTTTTATGTGTTTTCATCACCAAAAACAACTTTACTAAAATATAACCCACATACCAAAAAATTCTCCCTCTTAAAATGTACAACTCAGGGGTTTTTAGTATACACAGTATATTTTCCTCTAGTAAGAGCCATTTCTTACATAAAGATTCGTAGGACATTCATAAACCTGTGTATTGCACACACACCAAAAGCTGAATGAAGTTACCATATTAAAATTTGATAATAGATACGACATTCTGGAAAACTTCACAGTGTCAGTACTTTTTTAAAAGGTCAAAATTTCAGGTTACCAAGGCATCCAGTCCCCTACCAACCTGGCCCCTCCAGTGTGGAGGTGAAGGACTGCCAGGCTGGAGCACGGGTGATTTCTGGAACCCTGTGCTCATCACAGTTCTGAAGGGGCTCAGAGCTGCCCCTCTACTTACCAAGTGGGAGCCCAAGGTAGGACCTTCATACCAAAACTTCTTTCTATGGGGAGAAAACAAGAACTATGTCGGATATTGACGGCAAATTAAAGAAAAAGAGCTATGTAAGTGTTGGGGGAGGCCATCAAGAGGACACGACCACTGGCTGACCTGTAAGCTGGACCTGGTGACTGACTGGAGGCTCCCCACTCCTTTCCCATCCTGGTATGTGGTTCTGCCTGCCTTCCCTGCTCCCAGAGCTGCCCCATGGACACTACCTTGAGACAGTGATGTGTAGTTGAGACCATTTGGATGGGGTACATTTAGAACTGTTAAGGCCTCTATAAACTTTTAAGATCTGGCGGGTGGGTGTGGATATCTACTCATCTTGCGGCTGTCCACAACCAGCCTGGTACATAAGTTCCCTTGCTATTATTAAACAAACCTGCCCCCTATCAACCTGGAGTGCCTGCTTCTTTCTTCAGTCTCTCCCTTCTCTCTGCATACAGGGACTATTTTAGATCATTTCCAGGAAGCTCCCAATCAGCTTGCAAATCAACAATAAACTCGAGGTTTCTCAATGGTTTCTAAGGGGCTAAGCTTAGACATAGGATTATGTTACCGGGGATTCAAAAGTTTAGATATCCAACTGGCAACAACATGGATCATGGGGGAGAGACAGGAGATGGGTTTGATTCACCCTCGTAATTTGGACCTGAAGTCTACTTCTAATTACAAAGGCAAAGAAAGAGAATCTTAAAAACACCCCTATGGAGCTGTGTGAGCAGTGTACTCCACTTGACAAAACTGTTTCCCAGGGATATGGGGGACAACTCTGACAGTCGTTCACATATACTGGGATCCGACAACCACATCCATGTGGTGGGTGGAGTGGCCAGGCTCTCCCTGCTGCAGTGGGAGGTTCCAGGTAAGGAAAGGAAGCTAGGATGACCCTGTGGTGACAGGTTAGAGGTGGACATCTACATGAACTCCCTTCACTTAACACAGACACAGATGGTGACATACAGAAACGCTTGTAGACATGTATACATACATGGGTTAGCATGAACATGTCTTTTGCTTTGCCAGCTAAAAGGTCCTAAAAGACAGACACCCTAGCCGAAATGAACACACCAAGCTCTTGGATCACGGTTGCTAACTGCAGCTCTCCAATAAAAGGAAACAAAGTTCCTTGGAGAAATGGCTGATTCTAGGGTCAAGGTTTCTTGCAGTGCCAAAGTAAAGAAGTGGTAAAAAACATTTTTAAAAAACCACCACAAAACCCCATAATGACTGGGTGCGTCAAAGGGATCAAGGAGCCACCTTAAAGAGCTCTCGATGGTCAAAGCTAGAACAATCTGAGCAAATGGAGTGATACTGGATTATAACCCGTAAATCCAGACTAACGTGAATTTTAAAAATGGAGAAGAAACGCATGTCCCATGCAGAACTCCAAAGAATGTACGGGCATAAGCCCCACTCCTTAGGTGTGGGCTGCACATAGTGACTGCCCCCTAAAGGTGACAATGTGGAATGGGAGAGGAAGCAACCACAGGGGGGAACCCTGACACACCAAGATCAAGGCCAATATCCCCAGTGATAAGCCACGATGACAAGATGTATCACCTTCGATAGGTGATTACTTCCTTGATTTTTCTCTCAAAAACCCATAACCCCAGTATAAACATGAGAAAAACATCACACAAACTCCAACAAAGGGACATCCTATAAAATATCTAACCAGCACTCCTAAAACCTGTCAAGGTTATCCAAAACAGGGACAGTTTGAGAAACTGCCACGACCAACAGGAGCCTAGGGAAACATGACTAAATGTTATGTGGTTTGTGGATGGAATCCTGGGACAGAGACAGAAAAATTACGGTAAAAACTAAGAAAATGTGATAAAGCATGAATATTGGTTAACAACACATCAACATTAGTTTATTAGCTCTAATAAAACCCGGTGTGGTTATCTGGTAACGCTGTACTATCTCTAACAATGTTTCTGTAAATCTAGAACTATTTTTAAAAATAGTCTGCCAAAACAAAAACGAAACTATATATACCCACCCTACATATAACTGAAAGTGCTATGGAAGTTAACATATTTTGTTACACTGACCCATCATATAAAAACTATTCTCAAATTAAGCCCGCAGAAAAAGCATCAACGTGCAAAGAAAATCCTCGTATATTTAATTACTTTTCTGAGAAAACTACTCTACTGAAAAGTGCTTCAGGTAACAACAATCAAAATAAACGTATACACCACTCTGCTTCCACGTTTACGACGTGCTGTTAGTTTTCAAAAGATTCAAAACTCTATCACCTGAACTGAGCAAGAGAAAAAGAAAAAAGGGTGGATGGAAAAGAGGTCAAACAATACAGTAAAGAATGGAGTACCGTCGGTAACTAAGTAGAGGCCGCGCCGGCTGACCAGGCGGAGGGCCAGGGCCGCAGGGCACGACCCGCAGGTGGGCCCGCCCCCGCCCCGGCCGGTGGGCCGCGCCGCGGACCCGTGGGCCCACGCCCCGTGGGTCCCGCTTCCCACCTCCGGGAGGCTCCCCCAGCCCACTGTCCCCGACTTTGGGCGCGTCGCCCCGTCCCCGTGAACACCTCCTGTCCCGCTCCCGTGCCCCCCATGGGAAGCATCACCTGGTTTTCGAGGCAAACTTCTTGAGCAGGTTCTTGCCCCAGGAGACCGACGAGCCGTGCAAGCGGCGCGCGCCGCCCAGAAAAAGCCCCGCGTGGCGCAAGCCGACCAGCGCCGGGAACCCCGCACAGAGGCCCCACGGCCCGACGGCCGTCCACATGGCCGATGAGCGAGCCCCGGGGAAGGCGTCGCGGGAGACGCGACGTGGGGCGGATGACGCTGGCGAGGCGACGCGAGGCGGGGAGGCGGACAGGCCGGTCAAAGAAGGACCAGTGACCCAGGTGGGGGCACCGCGGGGCGCAGGGACGACGAAGGCGGGCAGGCGTCCCCGGCGACCGGGGCGGGACGGTGCAGGGCCTCGCGACGTACGGGCGGGGCGCCAGCGGGCGGGGGCACGCAGGCGCCGTGCGTGCGGGGCGACCGCGCGAGTCGGTCGTTGCTGGTGGAGAGACGTGCCTGCGGAGAGACGATGCGCGGCGAGACACGGAGGCGTGTGCTCGGGACGGGACGCGGCCTGCAGGACAAACGGGCGTGAAGCGGCTGGGCGGTGCGCGAGAGACCACGTGACTTTAGCCAGAGGCGGGACAACGGCTGGGAAGTGCGCGGAGCCACGAACGTTGGGGACTCCCACCGTGTGGGCGGGGCCGGGTGGCACGCGTTTGGGGGGGCGGGAGGCCAATGACGTGAGGCGGGGACAGATGACGTAGGCGGGGCGGGGCAAGGAAGGCCGGACCGGCGAGCTTGTGTTCCAGGGCTGGCGAGCTGGCGGCCTGGAGGAGGCGGGGTTGGGGGCGGGGTTCCCGGGGTTCCCCGGAGGGGTTCCCCAGGCGTGGAAGCTGACCCCAAAATGGCTGTTCTCTTGGGTTTTTGTGGAGGCTTCAATAAAGAATATGGGGAAAATGGAACTTTCTGACCAGGATCCCTACCTGGCCTTAATAGCGCCCATTGTGTATATAATAAGAGGATGTTTGCACATTAATGGGATGCTTACCGGCGGCAGAGGCGCTGGTCACAGGAGTACCTTGCCCAGGGGACGGGTAGAGAGGAAACATACATGCTCTCCTCTGCTGGTGTTGTGGCATGTAATTGGTCAGGTGGCCACCAGGCATCAGAGACCAGCCCACAGCAGTTGCTCCTGGAGTGTGGGAGCAGCGAGCTGCGAGGGCAGGGAGCCATGAGAGACTGAAGCCTGCTGCCTAGAGGATTAAGCTTGGGCTGGGGAGCAGAACCTGTAGGCGACCTGGGGAGCGCCCTGGAGCCAGCCAAGTGTAGCTGACTGACTGTGACCCCGAGAATAAACGCGGTGCCCCCAACTTTTTGCCCTTGCCTTTCTTCGGTCTCACCTCATTCTCAGAGAACTTACCCTGGGTTGGAGAACCCCCTCCTCCCGGAGCTAGAGTCCTGATTGACTAAGCCACTGGCCATTGGCTAATTCAACCTCCAGCCCTCTTCCCTCCTCAGAGGTGTGGGGTCTGGGGGAAAGGTGGGGGTGAAAGATATTTTGGTCATCTGAATGACCAGATATTTCTTATAAATCACAATATTGCAGTACACAAAATGTTTATTCCCATTTAATGTCATGTTTTCATCCCACGACATATCAGCCCACATAAATCATTTAAGTAGCACTTCGTTAGGAATGGCAGGGCCACTGAGAGCAGCCAGGATGCTTTCAACTGAATTTTTCATGATCTGTCGTCTGGCTTGATGACTTGCACTTCCGACGTGAGGTGTCAGAGTTATGTTCTTCATCTTCAACAAAGGCTGATCTCTGAAATGCAGATTAATTGAGGAAACCTCTTCAGAGTTGTTTGGTCCCTTTAACTTCATATCCTGATTTGTTATCCCCACCCTGAGATTGGGGTTGGGGGCTAGGGAGGCCTGATAGCATACTCTTAAATTTCACCTAGGAATGACCACCACTTTAAAGCAGTATTGGGAAACGCCACATGTCTCCTAACTGCACCCAGGCCATTAGTACACAATGCACAACGTGCATGGCTGATTAAGCAACACTGACCCACCAGACAGAAAAGGGCCTCAGGGGAGATAGGTGCTGGTCTAGGCATCATGGGACACGTTGAATGATTTTAATGAAGAGTGGCATTCAGAGGGAAAAGATTTATTACCTAGAATTCGCAGGTTAGAGGGAATTATCTACCAGAAGGAAGGCAAAGTATGGGAGTCTGCCCAGCAAGATGAGGCTTTAGTGAAGTGGATCAGGCAGATGGGTTCAGGCATAACTCTAGAACCCAGCCAACATCAGGAAAAGGGTCATAACATGACCCAACAGGCCTTTTGACTATTATAATACAGGAAGAGGCCAAAGTGGCCATGCAGCAGTGACCCTCCATTTTGGTTACTGAGGTTCAAGAGGCACATCTTTGGGAATCTTATAGATCCCCAAACCTATGGAAGTTATCTGGGGGCACTTATAATTTACATGGATACACTATGACTGCCCTCACCCCCAGGACTAATAGAAATAAGACATATCCTGCAGTTATCACGGAGAGGGGCTACTCTGAAAACACTCATATGCTCCCCATGGGAAGGAGGTGGGCCGTACCACATGACAGCACATGTTGGAAGCCAGCCTCTCTCTGAGGCTGTGAACTGACACAGGGTGACTGGCTTTCTCCCAACTGACTTGGAACCATAACCAGGTGTAACACCTGTCCCTAATAAAATCCCATACATAGGCAAAAGCCAATTCTGTTGAGAAAGCATAGTAAATACCTCTGAAATTGTTGATTTTTTATGTAATGAAACAGAACTTACTGTGACCATATTGCCATATGGTGTCACACTGGCATAGCAAATAAGATTTAACTCCCTTGTGAAATGTCTTATGACAATACTGACAGTGATATCAGATGTATTGCGAGGCTGAATTAAAGCCTCCTCAGGATGTAATACCAATGGGAAATGACTGGCCTGAGGGAAAAATAAAATATGAGCTCATTTATGTACTAAATAATGCACAAGTTCATTATAAGGTGCAAACAGTGATAGATCATGAAAGGAAGGAGCGACACACAGCAGCAATTCACCGGAGAATTCCACTTTATTAGGGAAAGGTGCTGGGTTATATAGGAAGGGGCATAGGGTGATTGTGGTGTCACTTCTATGGGGCTGGTGGCTGGTGGCTAGGTGCTGGGATTAGGGGGGGGCGAGAGGTGATTGGGCC